TTTTTATGTGGTGCTGAGGATTGAACCCAGCATCTCACATGTGCTAAGCAAACACTTTACCCCTGAGCCACACCCCCAGCTCCTGAATTTGTGTAATTTTTATCTGAGCTCCAGGATTTGTACCTGAGAGTGGGCAGGCACTCCTTCATGGACAGGAGATTGCCCTGGCACTGAGGGAACAATTCATAAATTTAGAGTAAATATTGGGGGGACAGATGATTGGAAAGTATGAGGGGGCTGCACAGAATATTCTTCATTCTGTTTTTCTAGTCTTCCTTCATATTCTTTCTGCTTCCTTATTTAACAAGTGGAAAATTGAACTCTGGCATCTTAATGGTGGTTCCAGAAGTCCTAATACTAAGGCTGAGCAAGACACTGTGTCTATGGACCGTATCTACAGATTGAAGATAATCCTGGTTGGGGTGCCATTCCATCTATATTTTTATTTTTGTATATTAAGTGTTAGGCAGCAAGGCTTAAGATGGAGAGAAATAATCTTATTGTTCCCCCTCCTCTCAATTTAGGGTTCAAAGGAGGCTGTAAAATTAATGGCAAAGGCTCTCATTTTTGATTTGCTTCTTTTTTGTGCTGGGCATTATGTTGGGGGCTTATCTGTAATCTTCATGCCATCTCTACGTGCTGAATATTCAGTAGGCACCATTTGCACAATTTTACAGGTGAGTCAACCGGCACAGAGGCTGAACGAGATGCCTGCAGGCGACAATCATACGGACTAGGGTGTCAGCTCAGCTTTTGGTCTTGGCCTCCTGACACATGGCATGGTGGATGTGAAGTTATAAACACATCACATATTTTCCCATTTCCATGCAAGCTTCTCGATATGACATCTTGGCCCTGAAATGAAAGCTGGGTCAGAACATACAGTCTGTGTGGTGAGACTTGGCGTGGGTGATGTTGCAATCCTATCACATGTGGGGTCCGGCTCTGAGCCAGGCAGCCCAGGCTGTGCTGGGAAAATGGCACCCACCTTCCCACCTGCCCCATCCCAGGGAAAGAGGGGTGCGGTGCAGGAGATCCCTAAATTGCAGAACTGCTCTTCACCCTCTCTTCAGAAGGAGCAGAGGGATGCCCATCAGCTTCTAAGGGAGGGGACCTCTCTCTCTTTTCCCAATTGCACAGCATGGGAATAATTAATATTTGTTAAGGAGTACTTACCACTGTGAACCACTAGATTCTACTGCTTCTCCCAAAACTTATTATTATTGCATTAGGTCCAAGGCGCTGGACAACAGGACTTCCAGGCTCTGGGCTTCCTTTCTCTTGTACCTATGCCATAAAAAATCCCTGATCCTCCCTGTCCATTTTCCTTCTCTGCCAGTGCTGTCTCCCTAGTCTGGTTGCAGGAACAAGACCTGTATTAGCCCTGTGGGGATCTCTAATTGTACCTTCAGTGGGTACACACATGCTTCGTGTATTCTGAGAATTCGTGTCTGGGGAAAAAACTGTTTATATCCTATCTTTGCATCTCTGGAAACCCTGGTCCTCAGAGAGCTTCCTATCCTTGGAGAGTTGGCATAAAAGGGTAATTTAAACAAAGGGTTTTCTAGCCCAAAGCAAGGATTCCAGATTCTGTTTCCAGCTCAGTCACTGCCTGCTCTTAAACTCTATCTAACTCACAGTCTCATTTTCTTTCTCTGCCTTGGTCAAGAATGATAGGACCTTCTAAGGGGCTAGAAGAAGGGGAAAGAGATAATGCACAAGAAACCTTTGCTGCAGGAGGGAAAAATTATTCCCCACGAAGTTCAACAAAATAATGGGTGTAAAGCACTTAGCTCACGTCTGGTGTGTGGTAGGTCCCCTCTGGCTGGATGAGGCACCAGGGAGATGGTTTGTGCTAGAGGCGGAGGCACCTGCAAAGTCTCATGAAGTTGGCTGCTGGCAAGATGAGGCCATCCCAAGACTACTTTCCTGAGTTTGCCTTCAGGGTACAGTTGGTGGCATGCCACAGATCTTAGGAAAGTGACCTAACTTGGATTTTTTCTGTATAGACACAGAATTGCAAAGAAATTCTCATTTGCATGGTGATGGTGAGTTTATTTTTCCCAGAAGCTGCATGTCAAGACCCAGGGAAAGAGGCATTTCTTAATAATGATTAATCAGCTATATCACAAAGGAAAAAAATAATTAAGGAAATGACATGCTAAAGAAATGAAGGGGGGAAAAAAATCTGCCCAAAGTGGACCCACCCAGTAAACTTTGACAGCACTTCCTCTTATCCACCTGCATAAAAGTGACCAGCCCTTTCCAAATGGCAAAGAGCACCAGGAGAGAGACTCCGGAGCAGCTGGTAGGCACAAGGTGAAGGTGAGACTGGTGCCCGCTTCATCAAGGGCTTTGCTCCTCCTGATCCCGGCTTCTGTCCTTCAGGACTGTAGGGTGATCTGCTTTCACTGTGTATGGCCTGTGCTGTCTTAGGCGCTGGTATTTTGTAGAAAGGGAAGAAGTATTCCATGGGGTGTGGGGAGGTGAAATTTCTGATTTATCGTCTTTTTAATGAGAAAATATGGAGAAAGAAGGAAGGGAAGGAAGAAAAGAAAGAAGGGAAGAAATAAAAGGAAGGGGACGGAAGGAAACTCATATCTTTACTATTGCTTTTTTTAATTTTTTTGTGCAGGGGTACCAGGGATTGAACTCAGCACACTCCACAACTCCAGGCTTATTTTGTATTTTATTTAGAGACAGAGTCTCACTGAGTTGCTTAGTGTCTCGCTTTTGTGCAGGCTGGCTTTGAACTCTAGATCCTCCTGCCTCAGCCTCCCAAACTGCACCAGATGCCTGGCCTACTATTGCTTTTTCATTCCAAGAAGTGTGCTGGGTAATTTACAATGTTTCTTTTTAAAATCCTTCACAGTATTAAGTATCTTCTTATTGGGTCCTTCTCCTTCTCCTTCTCCTTCTCCTTCTCCTTCTCCTTCTCCTT